ATATAATTATTTTATTAAATTCATCTAATTGTTTATTATCTTAAAATGGTTATCACTTTAATATATAATTATTTTATTAAATTCATCTAATTGTTTATTATCTTAAAATGGTTATCACTTTAATATATAATTATTTTATTAAATTCATCTAATTGTTTATTATCTTAAAACGGTTATCACTTTAATATATAATTATTTTATTAAATTCATCTTATTGTTCCGTTGTCACTTCTTGCTACAAGCGTATGTTTACTAATTCCTAACACTTTTGTGTGAATGTTTACAATTATAATTAGTTTTCATATTCATGAAAGAATCTCATGTTACAATTATACTGCCACCTCAACACATATCTTAAACTTACAATCTCTATTTACACTTTAAAACTTCAAGTTCCATTGTCATCTATTCTAAACTGAGTACTTAAACTTAAAATGACGCTGTTTCTGTAGAAATAACTTACTGTTCCAGTGTCACCTCTGCATGTCAACTTGAACTTAAGGACACTGCGTGGTTCGCTCTGTGCCAAAGAAATTACAACATTAGATTCAGGTATGGCTAGAAATCCTTCAATTGAAGTATTTGAATCACATTCTCGAGTATGTAGAAAAATAACAGTTAATTGAATAACCCAGAAGACAAACAGACTTAAGCCGTTTAAAATAGCTGTTTTGTTTTCCAAATGAAGAATACTTTATGGATATGACCCCCCGTGGGTCAGCGGTAAGTTTTACTGACTTTCAACGTCCGAGGTTAGATTTCCCGCGGGAAGACAGAGCACCGACAGCTTATTGCGTAGCTTTGCGCTAATAACAACAACAACAAATTCGTGCTATTATGAGGATTTAAACTACTTGCACGAACACCTATGATTAATTATACGTGTTTTACTTATGTTATTTATTACATCAATAAACCAAGGCCTAACATTGTGGAAGATATGTTTTGGTGGCGCTGAAATCGTGATCGAGTAATTATATTTTGTGTGTAAGTGTGAAATATAGAGCATTGAATATACTAAAATAGGAATTTTATTTTGTTCTATTTATTACTGTTATTTGTTACCTCGTAGTGTAATCTATTTTAATCTGGATACTTCCATTCATTCAATATTAATAATCCACAATCAGTGTAGCTATACCATAATGAAACAACGTTTGTTTTTGTAAGCCTAGTAAAGTCAGTCTTCCAAGGATTAAGGCTTAGCTGGTCGAACGTGAACAACACACTTAACATCGTGTTGAAAGAAAACTATTGCGAAGTACATTCTAGAACTGTTACCTAGTGTTTACCGAAAAAAGTTGTTCTAAAACCGGTTGTTTTGAGACAGATTTCCAACCGCGCCCTTCGCATACTTTGCCATAACAGTAGTGTTTGAAACAGTTAATAACGTAAGCTCCCAAGACACAAAAGGATTGTGTTCAATAACGATATGAAAAGTAGGCCTAAGGTAAAAGCAGTGAATCATAACTAACAATCAACATAACAGACAAAAATAATCATCTAACAAAAACAGGAAATGGGCATTTCTTATGACAATTCTGACACCAATTACAGTTTATTTGTAAAGCTATTTAGAAAGTTACGGTATCCCGTGTCTAGTTGATGTACTGGTCATGAGGTTTTCAGAAAGCGACATACAGATTTAGGCTTAGGATAAATTATATCTCAGTAATAGCCTTAATTATCATCCACTTTTCATCAGCTTGTTAGAGTAGACCTTAATGTAGGCCCTCTGGTAATTTATATAATTTTAACATGCTAAGTTAAACACTTTGTTACGGCAGACTTTAGTGTAGGCCCTCTGATTATTTATATTGGCTTAACATGCTAAGGTAAGCACTTTGTAGTTTAGGCCTAAGTGTAGGCCCTCTGATTATTTATATTGGCTTAACATGCTAAATTAACATTTTGTTAGTGTATGCTAAATGCGAGCTTTCTGACTATACACAATTTTAGAGTGTGAGGTTAAGGCCTTTGTTAATGTAGATATAAATATAACCCGTCTAGTTATATGTAGTTTTACCTGGGGGGGGGGGGGCATACCAAAAGGAAACATTATTGAACTGTTGATTATGAACGTTTTATGCAAGCGAAAACATTGCCTTAGGAAGCAAACCATTGTGACACACGATGTGTGCAAAGCATGCCATTTCTAAGTGGAGTTTGGGGTATGATCCCCCAGTAAATTTTTGAAAATATAATGCTATGAGATTCAATCTTGAGCCATTTTAACTATACACACAACGTAGTATACTGAATTTATAAAAGTAAGTTTGAATATATAAGTTGTAGCTATACATACCATGAAAGAGTGGTCAGGCGTCTGACTGGCCTTACCCCTCTGGAAAAATATATATGTAAAATTCACGTGCTAAGTATTTTATCAAGACACACTGTGTATTATTTACAGTAATGATAGTTTAGCGATTTTCCACTATCTGTAGCTCGGACTATGGTAATCCAAACTACCACATATTCTCAGTGGATGTTTTTTACTGGATTCTTACCTCACATACCAAATTTGAAAGTAATCCATTATGAAATACACGAGGTATAAAACTCCAATTCTTATTGATTTTTTTTTCAGAAAGACATACTTAACTTTTATAGTTTTTTTTTTTTTTTAGATTTTGGTGCA